GGACGAGGACCCCAGGACCCCTCCGCTGCCACCGCCTGTCCCTGCCACCAAGAGGTCCCCGGGCCCCGCCCCCCAAACCCACCATTCGGGGGCACCCATGGGGGCTCTGGGGGGGGTGGGGAACCCCCCACCAGGACAGAGGGACCCCAAATCCTCCATAGGGGCTTTGGGGGAACCCCGTTTCCCCACAGGTTTGGGGGGGACCAGGGCAGATCCAGGGTTCCCCTCCCCAGGACACAGTGCCTCCCTCCCCCCTTGCCCCAGGAGAGCCTTTTGGGGGATTTCAGGGGGATTTGGGGGGGTGGGGGGAGGTGTTTTTGGGAGGGAAAGTGGGGGGGGCTGGGGGTGCCCCCCTCCCCCCAATCTGGGCGCTCTCGCGGGCAGCCGATGTTGTGAAATAAATCGCTGGTTTTGCAGTTCCTGCGGCCTTAACGAGGCGCTGTAATGAGGGGCCCCTAATGAGGGCCCTGACGCCGGTGGCACCCCCCCCCCCGGGGGGTGGCACGGGGGGTTTGGGGTGCTAGGGCAGTGTGGTGGTACAGGGTTGCGCAGGTTTGGGGGTGTTTGCTCATGTCGGGGTGTAGTTGGGGTGCGTGGGTGTAGTTGGGGTGTGGTTGGGGAACAGGAGTGTGTTTGGGGTGCAGTTGGGGTATATGGATGTAGTTGGGGTGTAGTTGGGGAACAGGGGCGTGTTTGGGGTGCAGTTGGGTGTAATTGGGGTGCAGTTGGTATGTATGGGTGTAGTTGGGGTGCAGTTGGAGTGTAGGGGTGCACTTGGGGACAGGGTGTGTTTGGGGTGCAGTTGGGTGCAGTTGGAGTGTAGGGGTGCACTTGGGGACAGGGTGTGTTTGGGGTGCAGTTGGGTGCAGTTGGAGTGTAGGGGTGCACTTGGGGACAGGGTGTGTTTGGGGTGCAGTTGGGTGCAGTTGGAGTGTAGGGGTGCACTTGGGGACAGGGTGTGTTTGGGGTGCAGTTGGGTGCAGTTGGAGTGTAGGGGTGCACTTGGGGACAGGGTGTGTTTGGGGTGCAGTTGGGTGCAGTTGGAGTGTAGGGGTGCACTTGGGGACAGGGTGTGTTTGGGGTGCAGTTGGGTGCAGTTGGAGTGTAGGGGTGCACTTGGGGACAGGGTGTGTTTGGGGTGCAGTTGGGTGCAGTTGGAGTGTAGGGGTGCACTTGGGGACAGGGTGTGTTTGGGGTGCAGTTGGGTGCAGTTGGAGTGTAGGGGTGCACTTGGGGACAGGGTGTGTTTGGGGTGCAGTTGGGTGCAGTTGGAGTGTAGGGGTGCACTTGGGGACAGGGTGTGTTTGGGGTGCAGTTGGGTGCAGTTGGAGTGTAGGGGTGCACTTGGGGACAGGGTGTGTTTGGGGTGCAGTTGGGTGCAGTTGGAGTGTAGGGGTGCACTTGGGGACAGGGTGTGTTTGGGGTGCAGTTGGGTGCAGTTGGAGTGTAGGGGTGCACTTGGGGACAGGGTGTGTTTGGGGTGCAGTTGGGTGCAGTTGGAGTGTAGGGGTGCACTTGGGGACAGGGTGTGTTTGGGGTGCAGTTGGGTGCAGTTGGAGTGTAGGGGTGCACTTGGGGACAGGGTGTGTTTGGGGTGCAGTTTGGTGTAATTGGGGTGTAGGGGTGTGTTTGGGGTGCAGTTGGGGAACAGGGGGGTGTTTGGGGTGCAGTTGGGGTGTAGTTGGGGTGCAGTTTGGGTGTAGGGGTGCAGTTGGGGAGAGGGTGTGTTTGGGGTGCAGTCGGGGTGTAGTTGGGGTGCAGCTGGGGTGTAGGGGTGCAGTTGGGGACAGGGTGTGTTTGGGGTGCAGTTGGGGAACAGGGGTGTGTTTGGGGTGCAGTTGGGGTGTAGTTGGGGTGCAGTTGGGTTGTAGGGGTGCAGTTGGGGTGCCTGGGTGCAGTTGGCGGTGTACTTTGGGGTGTCGTAGGGCTGTAGGTGTGCAGCTGGAATTTAGGAGAGCAGTTGGGGTGTAGCTGGGGTGCACTGGCTGTGTCCGCCTGACGTTTTGGGATGGGCTGTTGGGTTGCACGTGGGGTGTTGGGGCCGTGTGTCCCAGGGTCCCCCAAAGCCAACACTGGAGGGCAGAGCTCCCGTGGGGGTGGGTGGGACAGCCCCACCCATGGGTGCTCCTGTAGTGATCCCGCCTGAACACCCGGCTCCTCTACAAATCCACCGCCCCAACACCCGGATCCTCTTCTGGTCCCTTGGGGTCCCACCTGACATCTGGAGGGATCCATAGAGGACCAAGATGTCCGAGGGTGCGTCTGTAGAGGTGTCTGGGGGTATCCGGTCCTTTTGACCTTAACCCCGCCCCCAAAAATACCCTCGTCGCAATCAAAACCATCGTTTAATTCAGCAGAGGAAGTTGCCAACTGCCGCGGCGTGGCCGAGCGCGGGCCCGCTTCCTCCTTGTCTGGAAAGTTGTGGCCATGGTGCTACGGGGTAGAATGGAAACAAGTTGCAATTTGGGGTGAAAAGCGGTGAAATTGGGCTGGCTGTGGCGAGGAGGCACCTTCTGGGATCTGCTCCCTTCCCCGTTGGGGTGTGGTGTTGACCCCCGCTGTGCAGGAAACCACTGGTCAGCCTGGGATCAATCCTGATCCTTTTGGTGGCCACCTCTGCCCTTCAACCACTGAAGGTTCAACCCTCTCCCAAGGTTCATGGTTGAACCACTGAAGGTTCAGCCACCGAAGGGTTGAGCCTCTCCCAAGGTTCAACCACTGAAGGTTCAATCACTGAAGGGTTGATCATTTCCCGAGGTTCAACTACTGAAGGTTCAACCACTGAAGGTTCAGCCACCGAAGGGTTGAGCCTCTCCCAAGGTTCAACCACTGAAGGTTCAGTCACTGAAGGGTTGATCATTTCCCAAGGTTCAACTACTGAAGGTTCAGCCACTGAAGGTTCAGCTGCTGAAGGTTCCACCCTCTCCCATGGTTCAACCACTGAAGGCTCAACCACTGAAGGCTCAACCACTGAAGGGTTGAGCCTCTCCCGAGGTTCAACCACTGAAGGGCTGAGCCTCTCCCAAGGTTCAACCACTGAAGGGTTGACCCTCCCAGGGTTCAACCACTGAAGGTTCAGCCACTGAAGGGTTGAGCCTCTCCCAAGGTTCAACCACTGAAGGTTCAGTCACTGAAGGGTTGATCATTTCCCAAGGTTCAACTACTGAAGGTTCAGCCACTGAAGGTTCAGCTGCTGAAGGTTCCACCCTCTCCCATGGTTCAACCACTGAAGGCTCAACCACTGAAGGCTCAACCACTGAAGGGTTGAGCCTCTCCCAAGGTTCAACCACTGAAGGTTCAATCACTGAAGGGTTGATCATTTCCCGAGGTTCAACTACTGAAGGTTCAACCACTGAAGGTTCAGCCACCGAAGGGTTGAGCCTCTCCCAAGGTTCAACCACTGAAGGTTCAATCACTGAAGGGTTGATCATTTCCCGAGGTTCAACTACTGAAGGTTCAACCACTGAAGGTTCAGCCACCGAAGGGTTGAGCCTCTCCCAAGGTTCAACCACTGAAGGTTCAATCACTGAAGGGTTGATCATTTCCCGAGGTTCAACTACTGAAGGTTCAACCACTGAAGGTTCAGCCACCGAAGGGTTGAGCCTCTCCCAAGGTTCAACCACTGAAGGTTCAATCACTGAAGGGTTGATCATTTCCCGAGGTTCAACTACTGAAGGTTCTGAAGGTTCAACACTTTCCCATGGTTCAACCACTGAAGGTTCACCCCTCTCCCAAAGTTCAACCACTGAAGGGCTGAGCCTCTCCCAAGTTTAAACCATTGAAGGTTCAACCCCTGAAGGTTCAACCCTTTCCTGGGGCCCAACCACTGAAGGTTCCACCCTCCAGGCAGCCAGGCCAGGTCGTGCTTACCCGGTTGGGGGTACCCTCGTCAAGGCCGCTGCTTTCTCTTCCTCCACAAAAAGCTTTTTTCCAGTTTTTTCCCATTTCTCCTTCAGCGCTCGTTGAAATTGGCCAAATTCCCTCTTCGCCCCAGGGGCTGATGGGTTGGGGGCCACCTTCCCCACAAACTCCTGCCAACAGAGAGACACCCCCCCCGCCCCCAATAATTCTGAAAATGATCGCGCAACATTTCCATGCCCACATGGGCGATTTCCTTGGCACAGGAAGGAGGGAAATTGGGGTTTTCCTAGGAAAAAAAATTAAAAAGTCCTTACCGCGTCCACCGGGATCTGGAATTTGATGTTTTGTGGCTCATACTCGAACGGAATTTCTGGAATGATTGGTTCCACCCGCCGTGGCCACTTAGGAGGGAAAGAAAAAAACCCAACCGCCCCCAAAATCGCCTGGTTTAGACCAAAACGAGCCTGGCGATCGTACGATCTTCTCCAACCGTTCGGCCTTCAGGACTTTTTGTTTTCCCGACGAAGTGAATTACCTCATCCCTCCCTTGCTCTTTGTTTTCTTCCCTTTTTTCCTCCTTTTCTGCTTCAGCCGGTTCTTTTTTTTCCAGCCTTTCCACCCACGACATTGGGAGGGCCCGGAGGTGCCACTGCGTGGTTCGGTAGCGTGTTTTCTGTGGACACACACAAACGCAATCTGGTTTTGAGGCGATTTATTGGGGGTTCTTTGCCGTCAACATAAAATGGAGACTTTTTTTTTATTGATCCGTGGTCTCAGTAGCCCCCCAGGCTTCAAAAGAACCTTTTTATCCTTCTGTCCTTCCTTCTATGACCAGGTGACCTGCTTGGTGGCCAAGGGACAGGCTGTGGATGTTCTCTGCCTGGACTTCAGCAAAGCCTTTGGCACTGTCTCCCACAGCGTTCTCCTGGAGAAGCTGGTGGCTCATGGCTTGGCCAGGCACAGTCTTTGCTGGGTGAAAAACCGGCTGGATGGCCGAGCCCAGAGACTTGTGGTCAACGGAGTTCAATCCCGTTGGCGGCCGGGCACAAGTGGTGGCCCCCAGGGCTCAGATTTGGACCCAGTTCTGTTTAACGTCTTTATCATGGATGAGGGGATTGAGGGCACCCTCGGCTAGTTTGCAGATGACACTGAGTTGGGTGGGGGTGTGGATCTGCTGGAGCATAGGGAGGGGGGCTCTGCAGAGGGACCTGGCCAGGCTGGATCCATGGCCCCAGCCCAATGGGGTGAGGGTCAACAAGGCCAAGGGCTGGGTCCTGCCCTGGGGTCACCACAACCCCACGCAGCGCTCCAGGCATGGGGAAGAGCG